CAGCTATTTTTTGGTTGCAGCTATCATTGTTGTTTTGGCGGGCCTGGGCTGGATTCGAACCCGCCACCTTAGGTGTATGTGGCTGGCGCCTTAGCCACTTGAGCCACAGGCACCAAGCCATTTTATACCCTTTTCAATCTTCCTACCACTTCCCCCTTTCGCCTTACGTCTCATCAGAAATAAATGACTTACAATTTCAGAAACCCACTATGGCTTACTGAATGCTGTTGCACCTCTGGTATCTACATTTTATTTTTTTTAGTAGAGACAGAATCTTACTTTATCACCCTCTGTTGAGTGCCGTGGCATCACACAGCTCACAGCAACCTGCAAGTCCTGGGCTTAGGCGATACTGTTGCCTCAGCCTCCTGAGTAGCTGGTACACCTGCCACAACGCCTGGCTATTTTTTTGTTGAAGTTTGGCTGGGGCCGGGTTCGAACCCCCCACCCTTGGCATATGGGGCCGGTGCCCTACCCACTGAGCCACAGGCACCATCCCTGGTATCTACATTTTTTTCTTCAAACCAGACAGTGCCTCTTGCAAAACCACCTTGAAATTGTCTGCAGTCGTCCCTGATCTTGGCATCACCTATTCCTGTGTGGATGTCTTCCAACATAGGACAGTAGGTATCATTGCTAGAGGTCAGCTGTGTTGCTTTTAGCTGACAAAGAAAGATTAAGGAGAGAACCTTTAAAAATCAAATTTCAGTACACTGCATAGCTCACAACAATGTCAAAACTCTTAGGCTCAAGCTATCCTCTTGCCTCAGCCTCCTGAGTAGCTGGGACTACAAGCACCTGCCATAATGCCCAGCTAGTTTTTTTCTATTTTTAGTAGAGATAGGGGCTCACTCTTACTCAGGCTGGTCTCAAACTCCTGAGCTCAGGTGATCCACCTACCTCAGCCTCTCAGAGTGCTAGGATTACAGGCGTGAGTCACCGTGCCCATAAACAATTCTAGATACCCAGTGTCTATTTAGACCCAGCTTTGATAATCCAGTTGTCTGGTCAGACATACTGTATTGTCAAAGCACTGGCCTTCATGGTTGTAGACTGTGCACACAAGCTCAAGAGCCAGAGGATGTAAACAACAAGTACTGAAGGCTTTATGCAGGCTCGCAGGCTCGGTGCCTATAGCTCAAGTGGCTAGAGCACTAGCCACATACACCAGAGCTGGCAAGTTCTAATCCAGCCCGGGTCCGCCAAACAACTATAATGAAAAAATAGCCAGGCATTGTGGTGGGTGCCTGTACTCCCAGCTACTTGGGAGGCTGAGGCAAGAGAACCGCTTAAGCCCCAAAGTTGGATGTTGTTCTGAGCTGTGACATCATGGCACTCTCCCAAGGGCTACAGCTTGATACAATCTCAGAAAAAATAAAAATGTAGCTGGGTGTTGTGGCAGCACCTGTAGTCCCAGCTACTCGGGAGGCTAAGGCAACAACAGAATCGCCTAAGCCAAGGGGCTGGAGGTTGCTGTGAGCTGTGATGTCACAGCACTCTACCGAGGGTGACAAAATAATATTCTGTCTCTAAAAAATAAAAAAAAAGATGTATCTTTAGGGTGGGGATTATATACCCCCCAGTTTGATACTGATTTACCACCTTAACCTCACTTCCAAACACTTTTGTCTTATTGTCCACAGCCTAGCTATGTTAGTCTGTCAGCTCCTCTGCTGGAAATGCTGTCCTCCACCCCAGCACCTGCCTACTTAAAGCCTAATTCGTGTTGCCCACCTGTGAAGCCTCCCCCATTTTTCTCCTGCTCCCCCCATCTGTGTGCACAGAAGGCGCATGCCTCTACGGCTGAAGGGAACAGGACTCATGCAGTAGTAGTCCTCTTGCTTGCACATTAATACATTGTCAAATGCTTGAGTTTAGTCGAAGTTTAGAATTAAGATTTAATTAGGAGACTTGGAGAAGTTTCAGGAGAGTTGTAATACATACAAATTCTGAAGAGTTAAGGAATAAATTGGGTGTTGAGGCGTGGAAGAAAATTGTGTATTCACTAGTCAAAGCTGAAAGTAAAGAAAGCTGAGTTAAAGAGAAGCTTAAGGATGAACATGCTATAGAACAGCATCAAGCAGCCAACAGAAATAGAAAGAAAAGGCAAGAGGATAAGAAAATAAAGGAGAAAACAGCCACATTCTGAATTAGAAACCACTAAATCTGGAAGTAGGTCCAAGTGTTAGCGATGCAGTTCGTTCTCTTTCACTAGTGGCAGTTTGATGTTCCGTGCAAAACCACGACATGGTGCACTAACGCTCACTCCATCAACCCTTGAACGTGTATCTGTGATGGTCTCCATACATTACACCTTCGGCATACTCAGAAACTATTTTAAAAATTTGCTTGCAGACTAATTCCCAAAGGCAAAAGACGTGCAATGATACTGAAAAGGTATATAATTTGCCAGTAGTCAACATCTGAATTTTAAGTTCAAAGATTCTGTCTTCTTTGAACCCACAGCCAATTTGTTTGGAGGCATAAGACAGAGCCTTTGCAGTTCAATGAAAAGCAATGCCATCTAGTGGTAAGTGTGCAGCAGGTCAAATACTAAGTTTGAGGATTTTTATAATGTAGTCATGTTTTTTGTTATCTTCAGGCCTTGCTGAGAAAAAGGCATGTTTCAAGTTTGTTTTTAACTGCTAAAAACACAAGGACAGGTACCAAAAACCAGGACTCAAAAACTTTTAGACCTTCATCAAAATCTTACAAATAGCAGAGCTTCAGTATTCAAAGTATTTCTTGCAGTCAAATCTGTGCATTATAAAATGTTTCTAGATGGATTCACATACTGACTGGCTACCTTCAAGCAGAGGACTGGGAAGCAAGAATTGAAGGAACAGTTTTTCAATGTATACCTACAGAATTGTGATGTGACATTAATTACATAAATTTGAATTGTTCAAATACATGATACCAAGATTTTCCTTATACAGGTCATGAATGAAAAACTTCAGCACTGCATGGAACTAACAGATCTAATGCGGAATCATCTGAATGAGAAGAGGGCACTCCGCTTGGAGTGGATGATTGTCATTCTCATCACTATCGAGGTAAGTGGAAAAATGCCAAGTGCAGTCACTTAACTTTTTTTAATAAACGTAAGGGATAAGGTAAGAATAAAGATAATTTGAGACAGAATATTACAGTAGGAAAGAAACCTTTGTATTCATTACTGAGTCTATTTGGAAGTAAGGTATAAGTTTCAAATGACTTTATTTTGCAAATAAATTAAATGTAATTTTTGAAAAGGGTCCACATTTCTAAATGCAGCATTTGGGCAAAGTTCTAGCTCTAAGTTGGTAACACACAGCCAACATAAAGCACCTATGCCTCAGCTTTGCAGCTTGCCATGTGAAAAAATGCCAAATATTTGAGTATTATTGCTACTTCAGAAGCATTTTCATTAATCATAATCTTGGAAAAGTCATTTTCTTTTGTACCAAATAATGTTTGCTATGAAATTAGTAATTCTCACTTTTTATCATCCTAAGGTAATGTTTGAGCTGGGACGAGTATTTTTCTGATCAAGTGATAAACAAAGCGTCATTGCAAGAGATGTTCGAGTTCTGCAATCAGAAATACACATTCACTATTGGGTGACCTCTTAATAGGTATTTAATTTTTTTGAATCAAGAAACTATTACAGTCTTTTTCAACTCCAAGTATACTGTTGCTTGAATAAAAATGATAAAGAGGGAGTGCCTGTGGCTCAGTGGGTAGGTCGCTAACCCCATATACCGAAGAGTGGTGGGTTCTAACCCAGTCCTGGCCAAACTGCAACAAAACACAGCTGGGCATTATGGCAGGTGTCTGTTGTCCCAGCTACTCAGGAGGCTGAGGCAAGAGAATCACCTAAACCCAGGAGCTGGAGGTTGCTGTACGCTGTGATGCCATAGTACTCTACTGAGGGCCATAAAGTGAGACTCTGTCTCTTTAAAAAAAAAAAACCATAAAGAATCTAGTGTTAGCAATGGCATTTAAAAAGGAAAATATTTCAGTTTAAGTAACATTATATAACCTCAAGGTCTAGGAAATCTAGGCAAAGATAATTTCGTAAAGCCAAAAGGCTTAGACTTTAAATATTGTAACTTGACCTATCCCAGGGGAATCCCAATTACAGCCCCAGCTAAAAAAACCACACGAGAACTTGATGTATACAATAACAAGACAGGCTTTTAATGACAGAAATGAATTTTATGTACCTATTTTAGATAGCATCAATTTGAGTATGATTTCACTGGTATTTTACCTTTTATTAATCAATACTTTGTTTACCACCATGTTAATCAAAATACTCTTCTCATGGAGACTTTGTTCTGCACATTTAAATACTCTTCTCATGGAGACTTTGTTCTGCACATTTAAGTACCAAGCATGAATTTAACATCTTTATATTTACCATCTTAAGCAAACCTTTATCTTCACTACCTAATTTTTATGCATCACCCCTCTTACCCCACCAGAGTCCTATTAGAGTGAATTTGAATGGTCTCATATATATACCAGGTCCTCATATATATACCAGGAACACACTTCTAGTTTGTTGCAAAATACTGCTACACGGTATCCCACCAAGAAAAGCTCATTCATCCATACCCTCCCTTACTGATGGATATTTACTTGCTTGCTAATAGTGCTAAGGTGAACATACTGTCTTTTCCAGCACACTGCTTTTTCAGACAGTCTCTGTCACCATAGCTCACACCAACCTCAAACTCTTGGGCTCAAGTGATTCTCTTGCCTCAGCATCCCAAGGAGTTGGGACAACAGAAGCCCACCACAACACCCAGCTATTTGTTCAAGACAAGGTTTCGCTCCAGCTCAGGTCTTTCAGGCTGATTGTAAACTGTGAACTCAGGCAATCCACCCACTTCAGCCTCCCACGTTTGGATTATAGGCGTGAGCCACCAGGCCCAGCCTGAAAGTTCTTGAGTAGCACTCTTCCATCTGTTGTACCTGCACCCCAAAACTCTCCAAGTAGCACGTAGACATGCATAGTTCAAGAACTGCTTTCTAGCAGGTTCAAACCCAGGCTGGGACTGCTAAATGACAACAACAGGTACTGTGGTGGGCCCCTGTAGTCCCAGCTACTTGGGAGGCTGAGGCAAGACAATCACTAAAGCCCAAGTTTGAAGTTGCTGTGACGCCACAGCATTCTACCAAAGGTGACAAGGTGAGACTGTCTCACAAAACAAAACTGCTTTCTAGTTTGGGTATCACAGCTGACAGTTCAATGCTATAACCCTAGCACTCGGTGAGGCCAAGGCAGGAAGACCACTTCAGTGAGCTCAAGGGAGTTTATTTATTTTAAGAGATGGGATCTTGCTCAGGCTGGTTTTGGACTCCTGAGCTCAGGCCATCCACCTGCATCGGCCTCCTAAGTGCTGGGATTACAAAGCAAGAGCTACTGCACTTGGCAAAGTATTTTTTTTTTTTTGATACCTGGTCTTTCTTGCTCCACTGCTTGGGCTAGAGTGCACTGGCCATAGTGTCATAGCTCACAGCAACCTCAAACTCTTGCACTTAAGCAATTTTCTTGCCTCAACCTTCCAAATAGCTGGGAGAAGCACCCACCACAATGCCTGGCTATTTTTTTTTTAGGGACAAGGTCTCATATGCTGGCTCAGACTGCTCTCCAACCTATGAGCTCAGGCAATCCACCTGCCTCAGCCTCCCAGAGTAATAGGATTATAGGCATGAGCCACCGCACCTGGCTCTCAAGGGAGTACTTAAGCTCAGGAGTTAGAGACCAGCCTGAGCAAGAACAAGACCCCGTATCTACCAACAGTGGAGAAATTAGCTGGGCACATATAAGTGCTCCTGTAGTGCCAGCTACTAGGGAAGCTGAGGCAGGAGGATCACTAGAGCCCAGGAGTTCGAGGTTGTAGTGAGCTATGACACCAATACACTCTTCTGCTTTCTGAAGTTCCACCCAACTTCTTCAAGTCAGCAGGCCTGTGTACATGGCTGCAAAAATGCCTCTTCTCTTTTCCCATCCTCCCACATCATACTCTACAGAAGAGTAGAGTACCTCTCACCTACCCTGAATAGTTTGGTCTACTTTACTCAATAACCTTTCGATATATTTAAGCTATTTTTTTAAAGCTTTGGGAAGTTACAGAAGACAATTTGAAAGATTAATCAATGCAACCTCCTTTAACTGAGGTTATTCCCCCTTCTGAAGATTTTAAAAGCTTCAATTTCAGTAAGATTTTACTCCAAGTATCAACATATACAAGTTGCTGTTAAGAGTCAAATTTAATTTTAATAATCCAGAAAAAAAGAACATTTGGTACGTTAAAATTAAAATTTTACATTTCAGTTTATATACACAAATGTTACCAAGGATGAAAGGATAATCAGTAAGACTTTCTTAAAACATTTATTAGGATAAAGTTTGGAGGGGAAAAATAGAATACAAAACTTTAAGAAGGAAAAGAAGTTTTATTGAATAGTTTACCTGTGTTTAAATGCATCTCGGTGGGCATCAATTCATTACAGTGTTACATTCCACGAGAGACAAAGGCTTTTTAAAACTGATAAAATAGCTTTATTTTAAAATATAAATATTGATGATACACTGGACATTATTTTACTTTTTTTCCAACTAATTTAAGTTTATGATTAAAAACCTACAACTTAAGTTAAAATTGCTTTAAAACATTTTTAGCTACAACACAAGTAGAAAATGACTTTTTTTTTTTTTTTTGCAGTTTTTGGATGGGGCTGGGACCTTACTCCTTTGAGCCATAAGTGCTGCCCAGAAAATGATTTTTTTTTTTTTTTTT